GTTTCTGAGAGCCAGCAGCTCACAGGACCAGTTTCTGAGAGCCAGCAGTGCACAGGACCAGTTTCTGAGAGCCAGCACCTCACAGGACTAGGGTTGGACATCGTTTGAATTTGAACTGTTCTGGTTTTGATTCCGGTTCCTATCGATTCCCGATTCTTTTTAGAGGCGGGGTTTAAAACCAACAACAAATAAAAACAAACAAACAACCAGTCACATGTTATGAATGAGCGAGTTAACCAGAGTTGTTTCTGGATGAAATAATTTTAATTCTATGAACTTTTTATTTTTTATCACCAATGCAGACGTGTTCCTGTTTGTAGTTTTCTACACCACTTTATAATCCAGCTGTTTTTAAAACTTTTCCTTTGACTGTCCTTTTGGTTGCTGTTTTGTTTTGTTTTGTAAAAAAAGGAAGACGTTTAATTTGTGCGCCTCCTCTTGTCGTTGGTCTTCACTGTTGTTGAAGCAGGTCTGAGTCCTCGAGGCTCAATGGGACGAACCTGAAGAAATGAAGGTTCAATTAATTAATTAACTTTCCAATGAATTTCTCACAGAGCTATTTTCAACCAGTGTATAAATATCAAACTTATGAACTTTAATATAAATGTTGTGGATTTTCTTTTCACAGGGATAAACTTTCACGAGAGCTTTATGTTTGCAAACCTCATGTCCACATGTCGGTGTGTGATGCTGCAGCCATGTTCCTGAGCTCCCACTGATGGACTGACCTGCTGCACAATATCAAACCAAATCATTGTTATTGTTATAAAAAAGAACATCTTGTATAATCCAGTCCAGATTAGCAGCAGGTCCAGTATAAAATCAGAAGCTGTTCTTGTTGAGGAAAATGATGATATTCTCAGACAGTGTGTGTGAGTGTTCTGGACAGACAGTGTCTCCTGCAGTGGAGAACATGTCTGAAGGTGCAGAAGAAGCTTGAACACATAAATATGAGAAATCAAGATCTGACAGCAACAAGTCTTGTGTTGGTTCCACCACCAGCAGCAGGTCCTCAGACAGAACGTCTGCTGGAATGTCCTGGTCCATCTGCAGCTCTCTCCACTTGTTTCTTCATGGACATGGAGCTGTGACGTTATGTTGTTCCTCTTCCTCAGCAAAAAGCTCCTCCAGTGGAGACTTTCTGGACAGACTGCAGGGAGGTGGTTCCTAAACAAAGAACAGGTTCATCAGTATTATCAGTAAAAAGGGATTATTAAAGGCATGAGCATTATTAAGATTGAGAATCTATAATTTCAGATATCATACTCTTACACTCTCCTCCTCATCCTCCACTCCCTCATTCTCAGGCCTTTCCTCAGACTGGTGACCCCATCATCTCCACAGCCTTCCTCTGCTGACCACAGAGAACATTACTGGTATTTAGATTTCTGATTTTAAAGCAGATAAGGACAGGTGTGCATGACATTTCACCTGCTCAATCATCTTCTCTGGATCTGCTCCCAGACACGTCATCATCTTCTGTCTCCACCTTATAACAAGATGATTAATTTATTTGACAGCTGGTCCATGGGAGGTGGTGTGTACTTGGGTTGATGGTTTCCACCATGTCCCTGCAAACATATTAACAAACATGTGATGTCACCGTTACTGTAACGTTAGCTTAGGATGGACTATTAATTAGCTTAGCTCTTTTGTTGTTGCCTAACTAACCTAAATGTTGGTGATTCTAAAATGCAGAGTTTAGAGATTGGTCCATAGTTGTTCAGTGAGGGGGGGTCTCCTCCCTTCAGCAAAGAAGAACAAAGGCTGTTTTCAAGTGTCTGGATGGAGTTTTGTCTCATGGAGAGATTGAAGATGTGGGTCACAGGGACTGTGATGATATGAGCAGCCAGCCTTAAGAAATAAGGTGGAAGTTCATCTGGACCTGCAGATTTTTTAGGATCAAGATCTTTTAACAGTTTATTGACCTCACTGACTGAGAATGGAGAAAAAGAGAAGCTGTGATTAACTGAGGATTGACTTGTAGGAGGGATTTGATTTGTAGAAGTTTGGTTATTAAGTGAAGTGGCTGATCTTCCATTAGTTACTGTGTCAAATAAAGAACCAGAAGCAACAAAATGTTTGAAACGGTTCAGGATCTCGTGCTGATTTGACACAGGAACAGAGTTAATGAGAAGTTTGGCAGCACGACTGCTCAGTGGTTAGCACTGTTGCCTCACAGCAAGAAGGTCCTGGGTTCAATCCCCAGTTGGACCTGGGGTGTTTCTGTGTGGAGTTTGCATGTTCTCTCTGTGCTTCGTGGGTTTTCTCCGGGTACTCTTGTTTCCTCCCACAGATCAAAAACATGCATGTTCGCTGCCTTCAGGCCCAGACCTCCCTTACAGAGGAGATCTGTGATCTCAATGGGATTTGCCTGGTTTAATAAAGGTTAATAAATAAATAAGTTGTGATGGGAGGTCAGATGAATGAGAGCTGCCAGAGAGAGAGTTGATAGTTTTCCAGAATCTTTTAGGGTCATTTAGATCTTTGGTGGTCTGAGATTTAAAAAAAAAAGTTATATTTTGCAGCTTTGATGGAATTTGTACATTTATTCTGCTGCTGTTGAAAATGGAACCAGTCGGTGTCTGAACCAGATTTTCTGTCTGCAGCCCAAAGTTGATCTCTCCTGTGCAGAAGGTCGGCTAGCTCAGGAGTGAACCAGCGGCCGTCTCATCCTTTATTTCTGAACTGGCAAAAAGGAGCGTGTTTGTTCACAAAATAAATTAAATTATCCTGAAAATAGTTCCAAGTGGTGTTCACGTCATCAGTTAATAGAATATGATGCCAATCAAAATGGGACAAGTCCCAAAGGAATGCCTGTTCACAAAAATGTTTCAAATCCCTTTTTTGAATTACTCTGGACTTGGAGTGAGGTAGTTTAATGTCTCTGATAACTCCGATAACGCAACGATCGCTCATATCATCCGCAAAAACACCCAGACCAGGGAACTAACAGCCCACGGCAGATGAGATCTGGCCTCTCTGTAAAGTCATGTTTACTGCTAGGATCCAAACTGGTTTGAGATTGTCTTGGCAGAGACCAGTTGAGAATCCAGGCTTGCTCTGATGTAAATGGTGACTCCACCTCTCTTTCTCAGACGGTCAGACCGGGAGCTATGAAATCTATCTGTTGTCACATCTTTATACAAAATTGATTTGGATAGCCAATTTCAGAAATGAAAATTACATCAGCACCAGAAGAACAGACCCAAATCCTCAACATTTCAATTTTCAAGGAAGACTCCGTGCGTTAACGTGCACAAATGAAGTCCTGACATGTTTTTAAACTCATATGGTGTGCTGGAGTGTGTGGGGGGTCAGGATTAGGTTGAATCCCAGACAGAAGTAAAAATCTTATTATTAGACATTCTCTTGTATTTTTTGTGACCGACGTGAAATTACAGGAGTTATATTGTGACACTCAGCCCCATAATGGAACCATGGTGCGAAGAATTTATAAAGTCGTGATTACTTAGAACCCAAAAACGATGAAGTTGGCAGGGAAGGGCAGATCCACACACGTTAACAAGGTTCAGCGACTCCAAATAGTCAGAGATCTGAAAACGATTGGGATGGAGCAGAAGAGTTTCAGGCCAGACGGCATCATGGTTCAAATGGACCAACGAGCCTGTCATGGTGGTCCAACTGCAGTTTAAACTGGACTGAGGGGAGCTCCAGCACCCTGATGTAGACTATTAACTCCTGCTGCTCTCGTGTTGAACAGATGCTGGGTCCAGAACCAACAGGCAGACAGGTGATCCACATCAAAGAACAGAGCGAGATGCCAGAGGGTCCACTCGTTCTGGAAGGCATGATCCCGGCTCGGCTCGGATCAACAGAGATCTGATCCAGGTGAGAAAAAAACTATCAGGTAGAGCCCTCCGCTGGTTCAGGATCTGTCCAAACCAAACTCAGTGAAATAAACAGACAATACCAACAGCACAGTCCAGAACAGATCCTTCGACTGACCAGCTCTGAACCAGTGGTTCCATACAGATCCAAAATCCAGATGAGTACAGGTGGAAGATCAGCAGAACTCCGATGCAGACACCGGTCTTCCTTCGAGCGGTTCCTCCTCAGCGCTTCCCGGCATGAGAGGCTTCCTCCAGGCAAGTAGTGGTCAGACTGACCGTAGAGGCTGGAGCCGTCCTTGACTCGGTTCTGATCCAGTTCCGTCAAACTCCTCCGCAGCTGAAAGCAAACGCCCACGGAGAGGCCGGTCCTTCGATGAGCAAGTATCAGGCTGCTCGCTGAGGCCGAGACCAGCTCAGTTCTGGTCCGGCTCAGGTCAACTTCCCCATGGCCAAAAGCAGACACCCACAAGGAGAGCCGGTCTGACAGAAAGCCAGCACAAAACCACACAGCGATCCAGGTCTGAACCGAACAGACCACAGAGATCCAGATGATAATTCCAGTTGGAATCCAGAGAAAAACGCCGGACCTTTGGACAACGCCTCCCCCGCTCGAAAGGCCACCTGGCCGGCAAGCTGCACTTGAGGTGACCGATGGGCGGTCCTGGTCCTGGACTGAAAAATTCCCAGACGGTTCCGTTCGGCTCTCCGAGTCCACTGAACCCCTAAGATGGTTGGAAGAGAGACCAAAACTATTAGTCCGGATCAAAATCGTGTCAGTTTGATGTTAAAGGAGTTCAGAGAAGCAGAGGAGCTGCCATCCTGCTGCTGTGAAAAAATGCTGGAGCTAACGTTAGCATGGTGTTTGTATTTCAGCTGACCTACCGCTTTAGGTCGAGCATAACTTGTTAGCTGCCTTAATGCTGAGTCGTAGTTTATAGTTTTACTTATTCTGAGGGTCGGAGCCGGAGGAGGAGGCAGCGAAAATAGTCCGGTGGAGCGCGTCAAAGACGGAGCACTCCGTTACTTCTGCACCATGAACCTGGAAGTGTTGGTCGTGCACCCTCTTTTGCACGATCGAAAATTATTGCAAGTGCTGCGCTGAGCCGACCGGCCGTTTCTTTTATTAAAGTCGAGACGCTTTAGATCGCGGCCGCTCTCTGTCCATGTCTGCAAGCACTTCCTGTGGATTCTTCTTCGCTGGTGTTCGGCGGGCGGTTTTTTCTTTCGGTCAGTGAACTAGACATCGAAGGTAGGAATCGAAAATAAATCATTTGAATGATCCTGGGAGAACTGGAACGTTAGTTCTGTTCCAATCGATTTGCGAGACTGAATGTTCAACCCCACCCAGGACATCAGCTTCAAGCAGCCAGGGCTGGTCCTGATGTTCCAGCTGTGAACAGAAGACTTGGAGCTGCAGGTCGACGGCTCAAGATGCAGCAAGAAACCATTTCCAAGACGTCAGAGGAAGAGGCTCGCCTGGGCCTGAAGCTCCACCGATGGACCACTGAAGACTGGGAGCAGCAGAACCTGAGGACCAGCAGAACCTGAGGACCAGCAGAACCTGAGGACCAGCAGAACATGAGGACCAGCAGAACCTGAGGACCAGTAGAACCTGAGGAGCAGCAGAACCTGAGGACCAGCAGAACCTGAGGACCAGCAAAACATGAGGACCAGCAGAACCTGAGGAGCAGCAGAACCTGAGGACCAGCAGAACATGAGGACCAGCAGAACCTGAGGAGCAGCAGAACCTGAGGAGCAGCAGAACCTGAGGACCTGCAGAACATGAGGACCAGCAGAACCTGAGGACCAGTAGAACCTGAGGAGCAGCAGAACCTGAGGAACAGCAGAACCTGAGGACCAGTAGAACCTGAGGACCAGTAGAACCTGAGGACCAGTAGAACCTGAGGACCAGTAGAACCTGAGGAGCAGCAGAACCTGAGGACCAGTAGAACCTGAGGAGCAGCAGAACCTGAGGACCAGCAGAACCTGAGGACCAGCAGAACCTGAGGACCAGCAGAACCTGAGGACCAGCAGAACCTGAGGAGCAGCTGAACCTGAGGACCAGTAGAACCTGAGGAGCAGCAGAACCTGAGGACCAGTAGAACCTGAGGTGCTCCAGAACCTGAGGACCAGTAGAACCTGAGGAGCAGCAGGGTTTATCTCATCTTCTGAACTGATGTATTTCTTGTGTTAACAGAATGCATCATGTTTTCAGACGGACTCGTTGGACTGTAGCAGCTGACGCCGCCTCCTCTGCAGAGCTGATGATGATGACGACGAAGGTGTTTCGGACTCCGGCCCGTCACGGGTACGCGGTCGAGGTGTCGCCCTTCATCCCCCGCAGAGCGGCCTGCGCTGCGTCCCAGCACTACGGGATAACGGGTCAGTCTGGGCCCGGCTGTCTGACACTGAGCCACGCTGGGTCAGTTCTGAGTCCTCTGTGGTTCTGGTCCGGTTAATGAAGGAGGTGTTTCTGCAGGTTGTGGCTCGCTGCTGGTCCTGGATCAGACTGACACCGGCGTGGCTTTGGTGAGAAGGTAGACGGTTTTTATTTCTCCTTGAAATAAAAATAATCCAACAGAACATCAGCAGAGTCCAGACTGTCCGGTTCTGTTGGTCAGCAACGGTTCTGACTGAACGACAGACCTGGTTCTGATCAGCAGTTCTTCAGACGCTCTGAAGGTCTCAGGGGATTTTCTTTGGGCTTTGGCTGCTTTTTCTCTCTGTTTTAGCTGATAGTCTGGATTTTCTCAGCTTCAAATGTGAACTTTTTTTTAAATTCATAAACGTGATAAAATCATAAAATTTATATTTAAAGTCACAAAACTCCTAAATGTTACAAGAACTAGATAAGTTGCATTTCCTGCTAAAATACAGTGACAATGCTTATTGCAGAAGAACTTGCTGAAAAACAGCTGACATTAGCTAAAACCATGCTGAAATGTAGCTGAAACGGATGAACAAGCCTAAATTAGCAGAAGAAAGCAGAACCAACACATTTTACTGAATTAGTTTAAATGAGCAGAAATGAGCACAACAATTTGAAAAATGGCTAAAAACAGCTGAAATTAGAACAAAAATGTGGAATTAGCTGAAAATGCTACAATGTGCATAAAACTGCTAAATAGTAGCTGAAATAGCAGAAAAGCTGAACTTGGCAGAAATGAGTTAATTAGGCTGAAAGTAGCAGCAATTACCACAAAAAATTAAATTTTATCTGAAAACAGCTGAAATTACCTAAAAATGCCTAGCTGAAAAGATAGAACAAGCTAAAATTAGCAGAAGAAATCAGAAAGAACACGTTTGCTGATAGAAGCAGAAATTAGCACAAAAACGTGGAAATGATCTGAAAAAAGCTGAAATGAGCAAAAACAGCTGAAAAGTAGCTAAAAAATCAGAAAGAAGCTGAATTTACCAGAAGGAAGTGGAGAGCACATTTTTACTGAATTAGCTGAAAAAGCTTAAACTAACATTAAACAGCAAAATAGTTGCTGAAAAAGCTGAAACTTTCAGTAATGAGCTGAAAGGGGCATAACGAGCTGAAATTAGCAGAAAAAAGTTAGAAGCTCAAAAATGTTGTAGTTAGCATAATTTTCTGCTGGGATTATATTATAATCTGATTTATAATCTTTGTGTGTTTCTGCTGGGATTAGATTATAATCTGGTTTATAATCTGTGTGTTTCTGCTGGGATTAAATTATAATCTGGTTTATAATTTGTGTGTGTTTCTGCTGGGATTAGATTATAATCTGGTTTATAATCTGTGTGTGTTTCTGATGGGATTAGATTATAATCTGCTTTATAATCTGTGTGTGTTTCTGCTGGGATTAAAATATAATCTGGTTTTTAATTTGTCAGATGGGAGTGGGGCGATGGGCTGTTCGACGTGGCGTGGAGCGAAGCCAACGAGCACGTCCTGGTGGCGGGGGGCGGGGACGGAAGCCTGCAGCTCTGGGACACGGCCAATCAGCACGCTCCGCTCAGGGTGGCCAAAGAACACACGCAGGAGGTCTACGCCGTGGACTGGAGCCAGACCAGAGGGGAGAACCTGATCGTGTCCGGGTCCTGGGACCAGACTGCCAAAGTGGTGAGAGGCCCCGCCCCCTTTTGGACCTCCTCCACAGATTCTTTTCTCCTCTCAACAAAGTGTTTGTGTTCTTCTCTTCAAAGTGGGATCAGAACCTCAGCGGGTCGCTGATGACGCTCCGAGGTCATGAAGGCGTCGTCTACAGCTCCGTCTGGTCTCCTCACATCCCAGCATGCTTTGCTTCAGCCTCAGGTGAGCAGAGACCCACACGCCTCTCATCTGATTGAACTTTGTTGTTTGGTGAGCCAGGACCAGCTAAACACCAGCTAAAAGCTGGGATCGGCTAAACACCAGCTAAAAGCTGGGATCGGCTAAACACCAGCTAAAAGCTGGGATCGGCTATAGAGCCCAAAGTTTCGGCTGCTATGTTCTGAACGAGCTGAAGGTTTCAAACAGCTGAAAGTCTGCTGAAGCAGCTGAAGTCCAGAAAAGGCTCGAATGATTTAAGATGTTTGAGACGTCGGTTTTTGTTCTGGAGCAGAAAATGAAAAGTTCTGAAACGTTTCCAGATGTTTGGACTCTGAAGATGATTTGAGCTCTTTTCTGAGCTGAAAGTGGGACCACCGGTTCTGAACCGACCCGGTTCGTCGGGTTCAGCCGGAGCATTGCCCGTTCTCTGAGCATGTGCACGTTTGCCTACGTGCACGGCGCCTGTTCTGATGAAGACAAAGGTCCGCCGGTCCTCTCTGAGCTCTGCTTCATGTTCTGGCCTCGGGGAACATCTGGAGCAACAGGAACCGGTCCACGTGACTGATTGCCATCAGAACTGAACCAGAACCAGAACCACACAAACACTCACATGAAACGCTCAAACATCTTGTCGGGTCGTCGGACCGATGACGTGGATCTGGACACGTTCATGGGTCTAAAGGTTGAAGCCGCGGAGCTTCGGCTGAAAACACGAGACGCTAAGATCTTCAGCTGTTTTCGTTTTCCACAGTTTTACACTCGGATCAGAATTTTAACATAAAACTTGAAGTACTTTTCTTTAAATTTACTTTTTATTGTTTTGACAGTTTCAAAACAACAACCAACAGTTTTTGATGTAAAAACAACCTGTAATAAAATAACTTGGTGAGCACTGTTTGCTAATCCGCTAATAGCTAATAGCTAACAGCTAACAGCTAATAGCAAAACGTTTTTGCTAACTTTGGAAACTGTTAGCAGACCAGGTAGCTTCTGCTAAATTAGGCTCAGCTACCAAAACTGACACGTGTGTTCCTGTCGGATGTGGGCGTGTCTCGAAGGGTCCGTCTGCTGGCTCGCTGCGTGTGCACGTGACACGACGTGATTGGTCGACGCAGCAGCAGCTAGCTGAACAGCAACTAGCATCAGGTTTACGTCTTCAGCAGGAAGGAGCTGAAGACAGGGGATGCAGACTGACAGTCACCATAGCTGTTACTAGTTAGCATTAGCTATCGCTAATTACTTTACCTGTTTAATGTTAGTGAAGCTAATCTTTTAGTTAGCAGATTACGAGTTAGCAACGCTAACGTTTTGGTTAGCTGTGCCCACTAATGTAAATAAACAAGTATATCAAAACATTTTGAGCCTTTAGAATCAACATTTCAGCTTTTTAGGACAGATTTGAAACACCCGATCAGCTGTTTTATTTATAATATTTATATTTCAGACAAAAACTGAACTTTCACAATTTTTGTAAATAAAAAGTTTAAATTGAATATAATGACAGCTAACAGGCTGTTGTGTTTATAAAATATTTATGATTCTAAATAACTGTTTCTATTTTACTTCGGCTGTTGGATCGAGCTGGTTTAGCTGCAGTTAGCTGCAGCTGGCGAGCCACCTTCGGCTGTGTTCACCTGCTAACATGCTAAGTCTTGTAGCTTGTTGCAAACGTTTGTTTGGCACCAGAGTTGGCGTGAAACCGGAAACGGGAGTTTGGTAGACGAGCTGCGATGGACCGGGTCACCCTCCAGAACCATGCCTGTCAACACAAACGTTTAGCGCAGATCCCGTCAGCTCTTCAGCCGGCTGAGGCTCAGAGCGACGGGTCGAAGGACCCTTGCGTCTTAAAGATCCACAGACTCGGTGGTTCTGGTTTCAGTTTCCTGGTCCAGGTTGAAGGAGGAACCTCGGTGCTGACTGGAGTTTTCTATCACCGGTTGACTTCTCCAGGACGGGCTTTAAACGGGTCGGCTAATAGTCGGCTGAGGAACAAACTGTCACCGTAAAGCAAAGAAAAAGTAAACGTATGGTTTCCTGTAGATGATGCTGCGATCTTCACGTCCTGGGAGCTTCAGCCCCGTGAACCTTCAGCTTTTTAATCATCAGCTGTGGTCAGAGGAGACGGTCCGGTAGCATTTAGCTTCCAGCGGGTCTCGGACTGCACACTCATGCTGGCCTTAACATGTTTTATGTTCTTCTTCTTGTTGGTGGCACCTGAAAACTCCTCATTTATCACAAAGGGTGGCTCCATTATTGTACCGGTGCAATGCATTCTGGGTAATGACGTCCAGAGGCTGCAGTGGAGACTGAAAGGTTCTAATGTTTGAAAGTTCAGTCTTTGTCGTTCTGCTCCATGTATGGGTGGAAACCATCAAAACTCATCAACAAGATGTTTATTAGATTAGCTCTGGAGTTAGCAGGCTAAAGCTAACAGGCTAAAGCTAACAGGCTCAGGCAGCACCCACAAACCCCTGTAGTCTGTCCTCCATGAGCGGGTCAGAACCAGCCTGCTGTCAGGTGTAGATGGATGGATGATGGAGCATGCGCTCTCAGGACATCATTACCTGCAGTGTTCCCTCAGTGAGGACTGAACTAGACAAAAGGACCTTCTCCTACTCCGCTCCTGTTTCCTGGAATATCTTGTAAAAAGATCTGAAGCTCTCGACCTTTGACCTCTCTAAGTGGCTTTAAGAATCTGTTGGACTCCTGGCAGGGACCGATGCAGACATGTTCCTGTTTTTAGTTTTCTACATCACTTCATAATGTAGCTGTTTTTGTTTATTTTTATATAATTTCTTCTATTTACTTTTCATTTTGTTTTTATATGTTTGTCTTTTGTTGTTTGTTCCTCATCTTTTCTTTAATATCAGGTCTCTGTTGTAAACGAGTCCTCGAGGCTCATTGAGACTAACCTGTAGAAATAAAGGATGGATGGATGGTTGGTTGGATGGATGGATGGATGGAAGGATGGATGGACGATGTTGGATGGATGTTTGGATGGATGGATGGTTGGATGGATGGATAGATGGATGGTTGGATGGATGTTTGGATGGATGGATCATTGGCTGATGGATGGATGGATGTTTGGATGGATGGATGTATGGTTGGATGGATGTATGGATGGATGGATGTTTGGATGGTTGGATGGATGTTTGGATGGATGGATGGTTGGATGGATGGTTGGATAAATAGATGGTTGGATAAATGGATGGATGGATGGATGTTTGGATGGATGTTTGGATGGATGGTTGGATTGATGGATGGATGGATGGTTGGATGGATGGATGGTTGGATGGTTGGATGGATGGATGTTGGATGGATGGATGGTTGGATGGATGGATGGATGAGGTGCAGCTCCTGGGATGTGTCGGAACATGTTCTGATCCGATGCTTGAGACGGAGCTCCTCAGTCCGCTCTCTGGTCCTCTGATCCTCTGGTCCTCAGGTCCTCTGGTCCTCTGATCCTCTGGTCCTCTGATCCTCTGGTCCTTTGGCCCTCTGATCCTCTGGTCCTCTGGTCATTTGGTCCTTGGTCCTCTGAAACTCTGGTCCTCTGGTCCTCTTATCCTCTGATCCTCTGGTCCTCTGATCCTCTGATCCTCTGGTCCTCTGGTCCTCTGATCCTCTGGTCCTCTG